GTATGAATAATAAATTACAACAATACGTCAATTACGTGATCGATTTTTTGAAGGAGAATGTTTTTGGAGTGAGTAAAATTATGAGATTCGTGAACATAAATCTGGCTTAACGTTTTGAATGCGTTTCCTTCAACGTTTTACAAAACAATTAAATTGCAACAATAATGTATTTGTGTTTGTTTTTAGTCTGCAGCATTTGTATTTCGAGAATGTTTCAAACTCTTCTAAATTGTGAAGCATAATGTGTTGATTCCATTAAAAAAATATTTGCCCTATGACTGAGCTCACTAATATTCATAATTGTAAATAAGTTCTGTTAATCAATGAAGGAAAGATATGTAAATGATATGCAAATTATTATGCAAATTAGCCCCGGCGCTATGCATTTTTTCTGGGGAGAACCCTGGGATGTATAATAGCAGAGTTATTTACCAGATTGTGAGTACTTGTTAGGTATTATTACAGGGTAGATATGCTACACCAGTCGATATGTGGAGTGTGGGGTGTATAATAGCAGAGTTATTTACCAGATTGTGAGTACTTGTTAGGTATTATTACAGGGTAGATATGCTACACCAGTCGATATGTGGAGTGTGGGGTGTATAATAGCAGAGTTATTTACCAGATTGTGAGTACTTGTTAGGTATTATTACAGGGTAGATATGCTACACCAGTCGATATGTGGAGTGTGGGGTGTATAATAGCAGAGTTACCGTAAAAATCCGCAAATAAGCGCCACCCTCAATTAAAAGCCACTCAGTGAAAATTTGTTACATTTGACCCTCCATTAAGAGCCACCAAGAGTTGAGTGGTTTTGTCAATAAGAAACCAGAAATAAGCGCCAGCCGCCCGGTTGTTTACAATAAGGCAGACACAAGCGTCTCGTGCCTCACTTCCACCCTGCATTGTTTATTGCCCCACAGAAGGTGTGAGACAAATAAAGAGTATCCCCATAACTTGCCTGATGTCCTATGTAATTGAGAACGGAAGAATGACAGACGAAAGAAATGCACTGAGAGCGTGAATGTGACTGTCAACTTGTCTATTTTAAATTTCTGACACACAATCGACCAATTCACAAACTATTTAGTAGTAACTATGTTTTTTGCCGAAACACCGAAGGACACGTTGAGATATTCATTGCCAAT